TGATAAGAATGCTGTTTATTGGTCCAGTGGTGAGGATTTTTGTTTTCTTGACATTGAGATGTAATCCATATCGAAGGCTGTGCTCTTTGATCTTCAGTGAAACTTTACTCACATGGGATATCAAAGAGACTGTCCGATGATTTCCGCATTCCGTTGGGTCACGTCTCTTTGGAATGGGCACAAATACGGATCTCTTCCAATCAGTCGGCCAGATAGTTGTCTTCACTCATCTCTACAAGAAATTTGGAAGACAACCATCTGGCCGACTAATTGGATGAATGGCTTGTTAGAGACAGGCAATTTAAACATTGGCTGTCAAAACTAGGGGAGTGATACAGGCATGATGTGGTTGACTTACAAGCTTTCAAGGGTGTGCTCAGTTTCAGATCGAGGGGGGTAAGGTAGAATGCCCAATGAATTGTTTTCCTCTTTTCCAGATGGATCTGATGAAAATGGGTAAGGGATGCTGGTAAGATTTTGTGGTTGAATTGTGAGTAATTGTTACCAGGATTAATTTTGACTGTGAAAACTAATTGTAGAAGATGTGAAACTAAAAGAGGGGAGTAGTTAATCTTTCATTTCAGGAACAGACAGACAATCCCTTCCATCAAGAAGGAAGAATGGAGCATGAGAACCCTACCTAGAAAAGTGGCGACAACAGAACCGGTGACAGAGGAAGTGGCATGGAGAGAACAGCTGTGGGCTCTAGGCCTATGGGCTGAGGGCAGGAGATGGGCTTGCAGAATGTGCCCTTTGGATGTTTAAATTAATATATATATTTTTTTGTTTTGTATGTGTGTACCAAATGGGGAACTACAGGGAGGAAGTAGGATAACTGTTGTTTCATGAACGGGACTGTACTTATCGAGATGAAATAACGTATATGATTTATTGAATGTAAAGGTGATGATCACGTCTGTAAATCTTCACTCAATTCACAACAAAAAGTTAAAAATTAACACTTATAAAATAAAAACATAACTAAAAAAAGGTATCCTTTCACTATAAAAATAGTACACAAAAAGCTAATGGCTCCCTTGGACCACCTCTGGATCTGATCTCCCCACACTCTAAAGTGGAATTCAATTACATTTGGAACAAGCCCGCCCCAATATTTCTCTTATCTATTTAGATCTATCAACCCATCTAGAAATGCTGTTTTGATTTATTCTCCAACTCCATCTTAAAAGTATCCATTAGTTTAAAAAAATTAATAATTTCATTTTACAATGGGTAATGTATTTCATAGTGCAAATACTGTAACAGAGCCGTTTCTCTACTGGCAGGACTTTGTAGGCTGTGCAGGCAATTTTCTTTTTTATGATGATACATGATGTTATAATAGGAGTTATATATGAAGACGCTCAAGCATACAGGGAGTATCTATCTCCAAGGCAAAAACCAGAAATATAAACACTTGGGTCACAAGGATGATCAAGGTTAGAGCTAGGTTTAATCATCCTTGAGATGTCTGGAAGCTGGCAGAGCATAAAGTAGCCAAATGAGGTGAATCAAACAAAAGAATCTGATGTATGTCAGGAATACAGTAACTACCTAAAGGTAAGCTTCATTTGTCTTAAGACCACATCATGACAAAGGGCTGTAAACTCAGACATCGGTGCTTTTGCTTAAGGTCTGTGCCTGGTGGCTTGACTTCATTCTTCAAATTTCATCAACTTACCTGCAGGGGACCCAGGACTTCTAAAAGAAGAAAGGGAGAGGGACTCCTGACTCTCAGTGCTGGTAGGACCCAAAGCAGAACTGCAGGAGCTATTATCGGAATTGAAGGCAGGAAACTGCTGTAGATTTTCTAGGGGAATGTGGACTTCTGGGTCTGCAATGGGAACACAAAACAGGTAGAACGATTTCAAGAACTTCTCAGATCTCTTCTAACAGCTGAGGGGTGTCAATATGCATCACCCCACACCCTCACTCCTGGGTCTGGAAGATGCAAAGTTTGAAAACCCAAATCTGTAACAAGTCACTCTGTGTGTCTTTATTTAATAGTAAAATCTTGTTTTAAGTATTTATAATTAAAGGTGGGTAATAAACATGAGGATTAGTTCTACTTGAATATTCTGATAATAAACAGTTAAAACCAAGACAATCTTGTTCCTGATATAACAGTTTTCTCAAGTACAAGGCATGTGCTACACAGTTTTACAGTGTTGGGTCCCAGCAGACATCCTTCAGTACAATTTTATAATTTAGAAGAAAGCATTATTATGCTTTACCATATGCAATCAAAATAGTAACTCCTTTCCCTAGTCAAAGATTGATTGCAAGCAAGCAACACAATGTTCTTTGGCTTCCATGTCTCACTTATTTCCTGGGTTCAGTGAAGATTTTGTGGGAGCTCCAGAAGAACAGATTCTGTGCTGACGGGTACAAAAGAGCACTGAAGTATAACTCTCTGTGTGTACATCCTAGTTTGCTAAGGTTTCTATATGAAATCATACCCTCCTGGCATAATGACACCCTACCCCACCCGACCCTGAAGTCTACATATATCTCCAATTGCCTTCCTCGGAACAGGTTTTTTTTAAGCCACCAGGCAAAGACTGGATTTAATCTTAATTCTTACTATGTTCTATGCATTTGATCCATACTAAGTTCTAACAAGAAGCCTGTGAGGAGATAGTCTCAGGAGTTGTATTTGGGGCTAAACCCAAGCAGTCTGGCTCCGGGGCCTGGGCACTGAGCCTCTGTGGTGGTGCACAGCAGCGCAAGTCCAAGGTCAGGGTTCCACAACTTACACTTGCCCTGTTTCTTGTTCTCCTCCATCTCAATCCTGCGCTCTCGGCGACGCTCCTCCCGAGCCTTCTTTTGGCGCTGACGTTTCCTCTTCTCAATGTCATCTGTGGGTGGGTCAGGTTGTGAGGAGATATCCAGTGGGCCCAGCTGGATGGGCTGAATGGATGGAGGGCAAGGTCCCAAGACTAATGATACACTGCCTCAGGTTTCTTCCCAAATTGGGTTTCTCGCCATAAGCCACCCTGAAGCCCACTCTACATACAGAGAGGTAAAGCAAGAGCAGTATCAGCTCACCTGAGAACATCTCTAGGGTTTCCTTAGAGACCACAGGAGGCTGCAGAGCCAGTTCACAGATGCTGAACTCACAGGTGAGTGGCAAATGAGAAAGATATCTATGACGCTGCCGAACATCCTAGTTAGAAGTGGGACCAACACACAAATGAGACCAGGCTTAAATCTGAAAGCAAAAGTTTCCAACTCTGTCTGATACCACTCACAGGGAGCCTTGGGACTCAAACAAGTAGTAAAAAAGGTAGTACTCAAGCTATTAGTTTTGATAAGACAGGAATTTGTTAACCTATAAGAAGATAGAACAAGATTTCTGGCTTGCACTGCACATGAGTGAACTGAGCCTAGTAACTAATGATCTAAAGCAGATTTGTTATTTTTGGTATTATGGGATCCACAGCTGAAGGAAGAGAACAGAAAATATGATGGGGTTCAAAAAATTCTGTGGGAAAATGTATTTGTTGGCAAACTATCTGGGGCCCAAAAATTGGAAGGAAGACAAAGCCAATTTTTCTATTAAACGAATCTAGGCCCCAAACAGCAAACCCAAAACCTATCAGAGTTCATAGAAAAATATGATCTCTCACCCTGCCACTAGCTTTACAAAGCCCCGTTATATATAAATACTAGAACATAATTAGGTATATGCTAAGTTAAAGATGCATTTCAAGCCCACCTAACCTAGCTTAAACTTCTCCAATGATAAAAATCACTCCACCATGATTTTGAGACACAACTCCATCTTGACAAACTAGAAGACACCAATGTTCCCATACTACAACAAAGGAACTAGACACAGAGAGGAGTACCGGACTTAGCATGCCCAAGGGAGCCTCGTGCCACAGGAAAGGAGCCCCCAGATCTTTTAAAAACACAACTGATAGCAATTACACATAAGAATTTAACAAGCAAAGGTCCAGTGGATATAAAACCTGGCTGGGCTATTAAGTGAATTACATGCCACTTGTCACCTTGTGCTCCAAAAGGCAGGAGCTTACCTCAGACATGGAGTACCCGACGATCTCCACCACAGTTGCGGAGATCTTCTCGGGGCTGTGCTCCAGGCTGCCATACTCCCGCACGAGGCAGCGCGCATTCACGGGGTGCAGAAACATGTGCTGGCCATCCTCCGCTGAAGATAAGGGGTCTGTCACCCAACAATCTTGGCCCGCACTTAAAGAAGGGCCCCTCCTTAATGCTAGGCCTGCTTCTCCCACCCCATGCCAGCCAAGGAGCACTATACACCTCAGCCCTCAGCATCTACAGGAGCTATCTCCTGCTAAGAGAGCCAAGTCATCTCGCTGAAGCAGCTCCATGGCAACCCAGCCCTCCTACTAGTGAGCCCTCACCTTGGTAGAAGTAGTAACAAGGAGAACTGCTGGAGACTGGCTTGGTGACAGGTTCCTGCTGGTCAGACTCAGTAACACCGGTCCCTTCCCCGAGATTGTCATCTGCTAACTCCAAGTTCTCACAGGCCTCTGACAACCCCTCCATATCCAGTTCAGATGTTGCGTCCTCTTCTTCCATCAGAGGGAGAGCAAGAGGACGAGAAGAGTCCAGAGAACAAGCCTCCATACTTTCTTCATCAAAAGCAGACAGATACTCTAGTACGCCCTGTTGGAATGAACTCTAGGTCAACAGAAAGAGTATGTCCTGCATTTAGGAAGCAAGGTGACAAAGACAGGCATGGGACACACGCTCTCTGGATGTTTATCTTAGCTGTCACACACACTGATTGAACATCCCTGGGGAAAGAGCTACTAGGAAGCAGATGGGAAATACTGGTAGACCCCTCTAGTCCTAAGAAAATTCAGGTCTCATATGGATGGCCACCACATAACAGCACTGTGAGAGGAATGGCAGCTGTCTTGTCACTAACAGGGGCACACTAACCTTCCTGGGCTGGAAAATGGGCTCCTTCACCAAGGGAGCCACCAGCACCAGTTGTTCCACAGCAGCCACCACACCAGTGACATCTCCTCCACTTTGAGCCAATCCAGACAGAGCTTCCTCCCGAGTCTACAGTCACCAAAGACAAGAACAGAAACAAAGGTTTCCAGAAACACTTTTAAGTTTGAGAGGTAAACCATAGCATGGCCTGTTCTACTTCAGGAGCACACATTGAAAGGTAGCAAGATTCCCGGAGAGGGTTGAGGTATTCAATCCTCAGTCTTTAGGGGATGCAGGAAGCACAAGGCCTGTCTCTCCTCAGACTCCTGGTTAAAACCTTCTGGTATCCACTAAGGATGGCATTCTGCTCAATGACAATGACAGTACTATAAAAATGCTTCTAGGTTTACCAACTACACTGAGAGAGTACTGGCATAGTAGGCACCTCGACCTGAACACATCTACTTCTAATTTTCTTCTAAGATGGCATTCAGTCTTCTGATTAGGAAGCTCTGGTAGTGTAGTGGTTACAAGTCGGGATGCTAATATCATGGTCAGCAGTTCAAAGATACCAGCAGCTATGGAGGAAAAAGATGAGGCTTTCTGCTCCTATAAAGATTTACAGCCTCGGAAACCCTATGCAGGGTCACTGTAAGTAGGAACTGACTCCACGGCATATAACCACCACCAAGATGGCATTTGGACAAATACATCTGCAGAGTAAGAAAGTTGTTGTTGTTGTCAGGTGTCATCGAGTCGGAACCGACTCATAGAGACCCCATGCACAGCAGAATGAAACAATGTCCGATCCTGAGCCA